GAGCGGTCCATCCCCCCCCAGCTCCCACAATGCATTGCACTCAATCCCGCCCTCCCCCCCACCAGCTAGAGGTCAGCCGCACGGGCTTTGGGCTGCCCCTCAGTATTTCACACACTAGGCAGTCGCTGCGCCCGAGCGGTCACACGTGGCTCTGTGTGGGAGACTGGTCTGTGGCTCTGGGACCTACCCACTGCTCTGCATGGCCACCCTTTGCCTGAGCTCTAGGGCAGCAGGCCTGGGGCGTGGAGCTGAAGGTCCCTCGTTCTAGCTCCTGCTCCCCCCCCCCCACGCATGTCTATTATCTGCAGCACGTAAGCCTACAGGGTAGGGGTGGGAATTGCACAGGAGGTCTGGGTGATATAAAAGGGCTTGGGAACCCCCAGCAGTGCAATGGGGCTAAGAAAAGGCGGGGGGGGGGGGGGGGATTGTCCACACGAGGCCCTTGCCCTGAGCACTGACTCCACAGCTCCCATTGGCCGGGGCCACAGCCAATGGGAGTTGCGGGGCTGACGCATCCTGGCCTGCCCCGCCAAAGAGCTGCCACCAGAGGGTGTGGCGCTCGCTTTTGGGAGCCGCCCAAGATACGCGCTACGCTCCCACACCCACTCCAGCACCCCTCCCAAAGCTGCCCTCCCCGCTCCCACACCCAAACTGCCTCCCGGAGCCCGCACCCTCTTCCCTCGCGGCAACTCCCTGCCCCAATGCGGTGAAAGTGTGGCAGGGCGGAGGGAGGGATGGATGGGGAAGGATAGAATGAATGGGGGTGGAGCTTTAGAGAAGAGGCAATGGAGGCGTGGCCTCAGGGAAGGGGCGTGGCCTCAGGGAAGGGGTGGGGCAGGAGTCTTTGGGTTTGCACGATCAGGCAGTTGGCAACCCTGGGCAGGCCTATGGACGCCCCAGCTGTGCCGGAAGAGCCACCCGCCAGGGCATGTGCAGGATCGCCCACGTGGGCACGGCTTGCAGTGGGCCTGGTGGCACGTGGCCTCTGCGCTAAGCTTCCGGCTCCGGTTCTCCGAGCCCGCCCCCCATTCATTCCACCCCCTGCCCCTTACCCCGTTGACGAGGATCCACGGCACGTATTTATGGGGCGGGTCGAGGGCGGCCGTCAGTTGAGCGTTTTGATGCATCAGCTTGTTCCCTACGTCCCCCGTCACGCACGCTTGGATGTCGGCCAGCTTGGTGTCCGGGGCATAGATCTTCAGACACTGCGACGGGAAGGGCGGTCAGAGCCAGCATAGAGAGCTGGTTACTGGGGAGCAGAAGCCACGGGGCAAAGCTCTACCCCACCCCGAGCATCTGCTGCAGTCTCCAGAGCACATCCTACCTCTCCTGCACCCGGCCCTCACTGCGGCAGAGCCGGGGCAGTGCCTCATGGCACACGGAGAAGAAAGCGACCTCATGATCCAGGTGAGACTTGGCTGGAAACTGACGTGGCCGCAGCCTTGTCACGAAGTTCCAGCGGCCACGGCCGGACGTCCCACCAGACGCAGACTGGCAGGAAACGCCCAGCTGTTACGGGCCGTGGGACAAGACCCCTGCTCTGACCTGGGTGGGGGAATGAGGGGCGTGGAAGGGGGGTCACTGTGGGATGGGTGCAGAGACCAGCCCGCTGGGGTTACCCCTCCCCCCAACTTGAGCCCACGGAGTGTTAGAGCTCTGGGCCCGGAGCGTGGCCAACGTACAGCGGCGAGGTTGTCGACCACGGAGCTGCCGGATTCCATGCAGAAGATCACCGGGAAATACTGATCGACGTCCCGCAGCTGGTTCATCAGGCAGGTCTGGAAGAGCAGGGCGGGTTAGCCCAGTGGGAATGCAGCCAGCAGCAGGAGCCCGGCCTGTCGAGCCCCAGAGGCTCTGTAGGCAGCCCGCCCAGCGCG